GCCCAATATCTCCAGCTGTGCCTTTTGTTGTCCCGTTGCTAAGTGGTGTCTGTCTCTTTGCTGCCCCATGAACTGCAGCACTCTAGGCCTTCCTGTCCCTCACCATCTCCCCGAGTTCACCAGAGTTCATGGCCACTGAATCAGTGATGATGCCATCCAATCATCTCATATTCTGTCATCCTCTTCTTCTGTCTTCAGTCTTTCCCAGCATCAGGGTCTTTACAAATGAGTTGGCTCTTCGCATCAGGTGGCCAAAGTATTGGAGCTTCAGCGTCAATCTTTCCAATGAATATTCAAGGTTGATTTCATTTAGGATTGACTAGTTCAATGGAAAAGCAAAAGTGCTTCCAGGAAGCACTTATTTGTAAAGGAGCTTCTCATACTCTCACACACATCTATCTCATTTACTCCTGTTTCGGACAGTTCTAACAGGCACTGAGTTTTTAACAGGCACTATGATAGATGTTAAGAAGCAACAAATTAGAAAAAAAAATGCAAGGAATACTGTTAGAGACATGAAGACTTACAATTCTAAGAAGGGATAGCTTTTGTGTACAGCTGTTAGTGGTAAAGGAAAAGTAAAACTAAAAGCAGACAGCATTTCGAGTTGTTTTGGAATCTTTGTCTTCAGTGTACTCCAAGAGCCCTTAAGGCTGATTGAACATCAGCCTGTTAAATCATAGTGCTGTAATTCACCAAAATGATAATCCTGAGCGTTATTTTTAAAAGTAAATTATTCTGGATACACTCTAATTAGCAAAACAGGGATTTCCATTCACAGAAGAAAGGGTGAATTATACCGGATAAAATAAAGCATTGTCATACCCAAACTATTGGACTTAATATATATTGTTACTATCTTACAACTTTTGCAAAGAGCCCCTTCATCACAAATTCTGTTATTGTTGAAGTTCACAGTTCAGAATTATTAGTGCTACATATTCTGAAAAACAAAAAATATTGATGATGGCTCAAAAATGTACATATATGACTGGACAGAAGAAAACTCCAGTGTCTCCAGTGCTACAGGATTTCTTTGCAATTAGCTTGCAGAACTTGATTCTCCCCAAACTGTTGTGATTCCTCTGCACATCCTATAAATTATTTACACCCTGATGATGCTAAATGGCTGCATTAATGGCACCTCTGGCTCCACATGATATCAAGAACTTAAATAATTCATCTTTTATTACAGCTGCATCCCTGTAGATGAGCGTGAGTGAGAGCTGAGTATAACACTGAGCTAAGGCCTTTGCTCAGGTCTTTATTCTCCAAATATCATATCAATAAATATTCAGATATTAGTGCTGTTAAAAAATAAAGATTATTAACTGTTCGAAAGCTATAGACTCTCTAGGTTATGTTTATGAAGCATTAAATTGCTTCACCTATTTAAGTGCATTTTAAGGATGCTTCAAGGGGAAAATCTTTGAAAGGCAGTTCTCCATTTCAGGACTTTCACTTAAAAAACAAACTAGCATTAGTTTTACTGGACTAACATGAAATTAATGGCTGGCCATTGGCAGGAATAGTGAGAGAGACCTTAATTTTGAAAATTATTCAAATTGTTAATCTTAAGGATTTTACATCTGATATATGAAGTCTTCATATTTGTCTTCTTTGGGCTTTTGGAGTACTTTAAAAAAAAATAAGGAAGGCATGCTTATGGAAAGCAAGTGTGTGTGTGTGTGTGTGTGTATGTATGTATGTGTGCATGGACACCTCCATATGCCTGTGGATGTGCTAAGTTGCTGCACTTGTGTCCAACCCTTTGCAACCCCATAGAGTATAGCCTACCAGGCTCCTTTGTCCATGGGATTCTCCAGGCAAGAATACTGGAGTGGGCTGCCATGTTCTCCAGGGGATCTTCCCAACTCAGGGATCAAACCCGCATCTACTTATGTCTCTTGTATTGGCAGGCGGGTTCTTTGCCACTGTTGCCACCTGGGAAGCCCCTTCATATGCCCATGTAACATTAAATGCCAGAGTAAAATTAAGGTATAAAAAAGTTAGTTTATGCCGTTTCCATGAAGGATAGTTGCTGAGTTGATGTTGAATTCGTATTTACTCTTTTGAAGTGACTCCAGAGAGTACTATAAATGCTGCTTTTGAAAAAGACAAAAAGATTACTAAAATTGACAGTGGTTGTAACCTTAGCACTTGCACAGTGCCTGGCATATGGTTCAGTAAATGCTTATGCATAAATATCTGATGATCAGATCAATCCATGTAATTGTAGTTATACACCTGGTATTTTGATAGAGCAGCTATATGATTTATACTAGTTGCTTTATATGATAGTACTACTTAGGGGAGTGAATTTCAGTTTGCTGTATTTTTTAATCTGTACTATGTAGATTTGTTGCAGAAAAGTCCAGAGAGCCTCATTATATGGTGTTCTGTGAGGCATATATTCTTAAGACAGTGTTAGTCTGTAGAGAGGCTCCGGAGTTTTTCAGGTATGTTTTGCGTTCCACTGAAAATCCTTAGGGGTTCTTCAGACATACAGAGAAAATTGTTCTTTACTCCAGTAGAGACACTGGACAGTTTTCGCTGATACTGAATACATAGTGGTTTATACTATATATAAGTTGAGTTTCATTTGATTGCTTTAGATTTCTTTAAAACTGATTGTCTGGTCATCATTAACATCCATGAGAACATCCATGAGAGAACTGTAGGGGATCGTACAGCCAAAAGTTATACTGTCAAGGAGATTAGGGTTTGGAAAGGCATTAAAGGCACTGATTAAAATGAAAGCCCTTAATCTGTAAAAGGAAAAAAAACCCTAATTTCCAGAAAGCATGAGATATGGAATGAAATCCTACTGTGCTAGCCTTCTACACAGATGATGTTAGCTCTCTGTTGGCCAGACCAGCCACCTTGAAGCAGAATACAGAGTATCTAACTTAAATTAAAACAGTTGAATTTCTCCTTCAGTTGAAGCACCACAATAAATAAGTATCTTTTTGCTTGTATTAGTATGAAATTCTGTGTTTACTGTTCAGTAGCAGGTGTGAATTGGATGAAAGTGTCTGCATAAGGGCAGCAAGAGACACACAGATGTAAAGAACAAACTCTGTGGGAGAAGGCTAGGATGGGATGATTTGAGACAATAGCTTTGAAACATGTATATTATCATATATAAAATAGATAAGCAGTGCAAGTTTGATGTGTGAAGCAGGGAACCCAAAACCAACGCTCTAGGACAATCAAGAGGGATAGGGCGGGGAGAGAGGTGGAAGAGGGGTTCAGGCTGGGGGGACACGTGTACCTGTGGCTGATTCATGACGATGTATGGCAAAAACCACCACAATATTGTGAAGTAATTATTCTCCAGTTAAAATTAAAGTGCATATAAGATTTTTATGTGGAGTGAATTCGTATTTTTATTTCTTAACATTTTCCAGCACGTCCCTCCATTCATGAGTGTCCTTGAGCTGATATCTGGTGCCACATATCTTAGAATACAGATTTTAGAACTATATGAAAAAGGTTTTAGAACTATGTGAAAAAGTGATGGTTGGCTCTAGCCTTAGTTACATTATGGTGTAAATTAGGTTCTTACATGAAAGTGGCTAGGTTTTATAGATGTACAGACAGGAATCTAGCTGAGAACAAATTGTTCTGCTGTGATAGAGACATCGTTCAAACTGCATGCATCTGTCAGCTGCCCATGGTGGCACAGTGAGATAAAGTGATCTGTAATGTGTCTCTAGTGTGTCCCCATTGCTAGTCATATTGTAATGTATAATATATCTCTTGGGCAGACAGCTTGTGTGGGCTGGATTCCATCTCAGCCTTGAAAAGATGCCAGAAAGCATCAAGGTGAATTTTTAAGCCTATTTAAATATTTAGACTCATGACTAAATATTAGTGAAATCTCTGCTGTATCTGATAGAAGTGAGATGGAATTTCAAGAATACAAGAAGTGAGATGGAATTTCAAGATTGCAACTTCCTCACTTATTAGCTGTGTGACCTTGGATTGCCAAATTATTAATTTCTCCATCTGTTTTTGTGCTGGGAAAATGAGGAGTGTAAAAGTATTTGCCTCATAAGGTTGTTGTATGGGCTTAGACAGTTAATATGTATAAAGTGCATAGAAGAGTGTGTGGCACTTAATAAATGTTAGCTGTTGCTGCCACAACTATCATCATCATTAAGGTAACTTGGAGTGAGATGAATTTCCCTTCTCTGAAGCTAGATTCCCCCCCCCCCCCCTTTTTTTTTTAAGGAAGACTACATCTCTATCAGGGATGTGGTCAACCTCAATTCTAAAATAGAAACTCATGTTTTGACTTGTGAAATCCAGTCCATCTTCAAGTTTATCTAAAGTATATAACATATTGTAATATATATTATGTGAAGTGTATATTACCTTAGAAGTATATATTACTTCTTATTACTTTAAAAACGGTGTATTTCTTTCAAAAGTATATAGAATATAGTGCATTATAATAAAAAGTATAATATAATCACTAGAAGGGATGAAGAAAGCATATCACTGAAATGATCTATAAGATGTATTGTTAAGTGAAAAAAGCAAGAGGCAAAATAATGTGTAAATTATTCTACCATTTGTATATAATTTTTCTGGTATATCTGACAGACTATAAAAGAAATGGTATTAATATATTTAAAAAATATGTATATATTTTCACTTGTTGATGTTGGGAAGGAAAGTTGAATGACTGGAGAAAAGTGTGGGAGACTTTTTACTGTACATCCTTTTATACTTCTTGATTATTGAATCACATGAATATATTTCCTAGTGAGCAAAAACAAAAATTAAAAAAGCCCTCAATAAAACTGAAAAAGCTATTTTGAAATCTAGATGAATTTTTATTCATCCTTTGTAAACGTTTTTTTAAATCTGTGGTACTCAGATTCATGTTTGATAGCGCTTTTTAGATTCCTAGTTTAGTTTCACTGTTTTTTCTTTCCTTGAAGTGTGCTTTCCAACATTAACCTAAAAATGGTCTTTTGTCCTCCATTTAGGGATTTGAGTCATAATCGGTTGTCTAACTGGAACATCAGCTTGGAGTCTCAAACATTACAAGAAGTGTAAGTTATTTTTTTTACTTAAATTTACGTTAAATTCTTTGAGGTGATTTGGTGAATTAGGAATTTCAGGATATTCAGTCCAAAAATGTTAAAAAAAAATTTGAAGAAAATAAAACTTTAGATTAAAATATGTTTAAAAATCTAAACTTATGTTTAGCTTTCTTACTATCACAAACTCTTTGGGTATTATGCCGTTGAGTTGATGATTTCAAGTTGTAAACTGCATAGAAATACTGTTCTACTTCCAAGGGCCCTAAAGTAAGATTTCTCCCCTCTTAAGAGTGATGTGTGTGTGTGTGTGTGTGTGTATATACATATATATATTTTGCCAGAGTTTTAGCCTTAAAACTCTGTTGTGTAAATTTATTTATTTTTTACCTTTTGACTTGTCTGAGATGGAAGCGTCATGTCTGAAGTAAATTTATATGAAATACAATATTTTTGGTATCATTTGGAGTGTGTTTAATGTAATTCATTATTCCACTTCACTAACATTTTTCCTTTAGTACTGAAATGTATTATTATGTAGTTTTTGGAGAGTGTTTTCTAAAATATTATTAATGTAGTTATTGCATTGTGATATTTTCAGAGGCACAACTGTTTACCTCTGTACTAAACACCCCCAGAGTCGCAGATGAGTTTTTCTTTTGAATATCTTTGTGACAAAAGGTACTTCGTGCTCTCATTGTCTCTGCATTCTCTTCTTCCCTGCCTCAAATTGACCACCTCTAATCTGCTGTGGACTGAATGAACAATTAACAAGCTTATTAGCTGAAAGAGTAGGCCCTGAGGAAAGGAAAATGCTCAGTGGGAAGTGCATGAGCTTTATTATATATTGCATGGACTTAGTTACTTCATTTGGTTGATTGGAGGCATTTTACTCCTGGCTTCTTTTCTGTATTCTAGATTGTTTAGGTTGTTCAGTGATTGAAAACCAGGTTGGTGAAGTGTGATTGCATTAGATTTACTACTGAAACAACTGAGATAATCTGTTAGGTCTGTGGTCTAAAACAGCTTTCCCTAACTTTGAGTAACTTAAATTTGTGTGTGTATATTTTAAAACTGTATTTAATAACTTATATAACTATTGAAAGAACCTTGCTGGGAATTAAAAATATATAGTGTTGCAAAATATTTCCTAACCTTTCAAATGTTGGTATCAAATTATAGTTCTGTACTATGAAAACTTGTTAATTAAAATTTCCAATTTCTCAGTAGAATACATTTAGTCTGACTCATTCTGAGTCATAGGCTTTTTTCCAAATGTAGCATCTATTCTAAAGAATATGTATTAGCTAGAAACTAGAACTCAAGAGGTAACATTTCCCTCACTAAATTTTTAAATCTATTTTTCCTCCTATCCAGGAAAATGAATTATAATGAATTAACAGAAATCCCGTATTTTGGAGAACCAACTTCTAATATTACTCTCCTCTCGTTGTAAGTAAATAAGATGTCAGGTCTTTTACTTAAATTGTGAATAGTACACAGTTTTTTTATTTTTGTTTTAGGGACCCTTGTTGTTAACCGTAGTTATTTTTGTGCTCTAGGGTGGATCCCTAGCAATAGCTTCAATGTAATCTTTGTTTTGTAGAGTTCATAATATAATCCCGGAAATAAATGCAGAAGTGTTCCAGTTTTACCCTGCTCTCGAGACTTTAGATCTCAGCTCAAATCTAATATCAGAAATCAAGACATCTTCATTTCCTCGAATGCAGCTTAAATACCTGTAAGTAAAATAAGAGTTTAAATTAGATTTCCTTTGAAGTGCATGTTTGTTATTCGTTGATACTTATCTTCCCAGACATGTCTGTTGTTTATTGTGATTTTGCTTATGTGAAACAAACCTAGGTTAGATTTTTTGTTTTTTTTCCCTGCCCTTCAAGAAAGAATACCCTATTTACAGAAAATATTAAGTATCCAGGGCAGTTTTTGAGATTTAATTGTGGATTGTGTTTTACTACCAGTTTTGTGAAAGATAAATGGTAGTGGTCTGTTAAATAGCAGCTTACTCTGTGTGATGATGATGATAATTAGTATGTATGCTAATATTTTACAGTTTATAAAACATGTTCACACTGTTTCAGCCCGAATGAAGTAGGTATTACCCTTGTTTTGTGTTGAAGAAGCAAAGCAGTTACATGATTTGTAAAGTTGTTTACAGTTGCTAAGTGGTAGAACTGGGACACAGTCATAGACTTGGGGCAGCTTTCTGGTGGTAGAATGTTTATTTAGTTTCATTAAATTTTTTTTGTTGTTACCTTGTTCATTTTAGGAATTTGAGTAATAATAGGATAACCGTCTTGGAGGCTGGTTGCTTTGATAATTTGTCAAGTTCCTTATTAGTGGTGAAGTTAAACAGGAACAGAATTAGCATGATTCCACCCAAGATCTTCAAGCTACCTCACCTCCAGTTCTTGTGAGTAACTGAATAGATGGGTTATAAGAAGACCGTTTTTTCTTATAGTGTCTGTTTCTTTTTATTATTATTAGGGCAAATCAGCAAACTGGTTTTCTGACTGTAAAACAATTTTTTTTAAGGGAACTTAAAAGAAACAGGATTAAAGTTGTGGAGGGTCTCACATTCCAAGGGCTTGACTCCTTAAGATCTTTGAAAATGCAACGGAATGGAATTAGCAAACTTAAGGATGGAGCTTTTTTTGGCTTGGATAACATGGAAGAATTGTAAGTACTGTGAACTAGAATAGGAGATTGTTAGGAAAGGAGTCCTGGTCTTTTCAGTGCTAAACGGCTAAGATAGTAACTTTAATTCTAACAAAGTACTTTAGTTTTTATGTGAAATAAGTTAAACTATAAGCTTTGTTATCTAACCAGTGTTTCTGTTATCATTTTTCCAAACATTTCATCTAAAGTGTTTATATTCCCTTAATGTTTGATAGGTGAAAATTATCAGAATTTAACTAGAACCAGGTATACTATATCTTGTGGTGAGTTTGTTTTATAGATACATTTTAGACAGTCTCACCACTTTCTTGCACTAAATCTAAAGTAACATATTTATGAAAAGAATTTGTTCACTTGGGTTGAGCAAAAGTGTATGGCTCTCTGTTTAAGACTTAATGAAGATTTTGGAATCTCCCATTGCAGTGCCTTGTTTGAAACATATTTCCTCCTTTCTTTCTCTAATTCTGCAGAGAACTGGAGCATAATAACCTTACAGAAGTGAACAAGGGGTGGTTGTACGGCTTGCGAATGTTACAGCAGCTCTATGTGAGCCAGAATGCTGTTGAAAGAATCAGCCCTGATGCGTGGGAGTTCTGCCAAAGACTGTCTGAACTGTGAGTGTGGGATGGCATTTCAGTGGGGGCTGAGAGACTAGAGCAGATTGAATAAGTCATTCCCATGGCTAGTAATGAGATCTAATATCCCTTTTTATTAGAAGTTGAAAGCCCTAAATTTATCTATCATGTAAGTGGAGTAAGAATATGAAAGTGGAACTGAGAGTGAATTTTTTACTTGTTTACCATGTTTCCTGTTTTTAGTGATTTGTCCTATAACCAGTTGACCCGTCTGGATGAATCTGCCTTTGTGGGTCTGAGCTTACTGGAGAGACTGAATTTAGGGGACAACAGAGTCACTCACATTGCTGATGGTGTATTTAGGTTTCTTTCCAATCTACAAACACTGTAAGTACATCTGTCCTTTTGGGGGGTTTTTTTGCTGACTTTTTTTTAAAGCTGTGAAGCAAAATAACTAATGAATCTACAAATTTGTTTATGTTAATATTTTGCAGTTCTCTTCTGTGTCGTAGGGCAAGACAGTCTTGCTTATCTCTATCCCTATATATAAATTTTACTTATCTTTAGTGATTTCAGCTTGTACTTGAATTCTGAGTTAACTAAATAACAGAGCATCTCTTACTGTGGAATAATACACAGTTGCTAGTGTCAAGAACACACATTTTCGTACTCTTCTGACCTTCCGCTAATAGTAGTATACCAGAATTACCACTTCTCATTCAGAAGAATGCAGGATGTATTATGGGAACAGCCCTGGCAGGAGACCTGCTACTGTTATTTGCTGCATTATTTTGGACAGAAAAAACTGACATTTATTAATGATCTGATATGGGTCAAGGGCTTTCAGAGTATTAGGATATTGCTGCTGTTTTCCATATTGGGGGACTGAAGTTCAGAGAGATTAAAATGATTTATTTAAAGTCATCCCTTGTAAATGTTTGGGCCAGGATTAGAACCCAGGTCTTTTTTACTAAAGCTCGTGTGATTTTTTACTTTACTGTCAGACAAACAGAATCACTTAACTTTTCCTGGGTGTTAATTTTTTATCTTTTTGTCCAGTGAAGGATGGACATAGGATTAGATAGTTGCAAAAGGCATTGTCAACTCTGTGGTTCTGTAAGTTGAATGTTTTATCCTTATCATGGAATGTAATAGAATGAAGAGATATTTTAATGAGATACAGTAAACTCAAACTTAGAGCATAATAAATTAAGAATAATTAGTAGAATTTGTAGATTGTTAAGGTTCTTGAATAGGGGACTCTTTGGTCATCAGGTTTAGTTGATAAATGGACTTAGAAAAGAGGCAGGTTCCGAACTTTGGGACCTAACCATCAGTGACAAAGCATGATGATTTTGTGAAGGTGTCTATGGGTGCACAAGTGTGTGTTTGATTTTTTTTTTAACTTAATGAAATAGTCCTCCTTTAGAGTTGACTTTGAAAAATTAAAAGTGATTATTTTTTTCTACATTATCAGAGGTTAAATTAGATCAGTACAATCTCAGGAATTTATTTCTTTAGGAATTTATATTAGAAGCAGCTGTAGCCTTTTGGCAGTGCATGGCAGACAGGTTCTTTCAGTACAGCACTGATTATTACTTTTAGTATTAAAGCTTAGGAAAGTAATTGCAGCAGTAATAACTAATGCTATAAAGATAGTTAAGGCAGAATTAGGAACAGATCTGAAATATTCTGGCTTTGGATCAGTGCTCTTGCCAGAGTAGATATACTTGTTACTCACGTTGGTGAGTGAGTTCTGCGGAGGAGTGCAGAGTCCTGCAGTTGAGCCATCAGTTGTTTATTCTTTGGTAAAATAAGGTGATCTTTTGTAGCTTTCACTTCAAGTAGAGACATAGCTAAATGGGAAGAGTGATCTATCTCCTTACTGTTATTCACATAACTTTACATATGTCTTAAAAGAAAAAGCTTTGTTCTTTGTTCTGAGATGACTTAAGGAACAAAAGTGACTAAATATCTTTAACTGGTATTTCTCCTGTGAGGACAAGGTGCGGTGCAGTTGCATGTCCTTTGAGAATGGAAGAATGAATTTTTAAAAGACTCGTATTTTTTCTTTTAAAGAAAGCAGAGTGATCACTCTAGCACATGGGTGTATCATTGTTACTTCCCAGGGGTCCTGTTGAGTTGCTGTTGAGCTGTGAAGCTCTCTAATGACGTTAGTTTTTGTCAGGCTTGAGGTCTCAGGGGAAGGTGTGGGTCACCCCAGATCCCATCAGTCTAAAATCAGATTGGTAAGCCATACGCCTTGCATCTTGAATTCCTCCTGGTTTTTGTAGGTCCTTGACTAATTTCTAATATGCTAACACAGTTACAGGCTATTAACTAGGAAGATTAATACTCTTAGCGGGTTGCTTAATGTATTTATCAAGGTTGGTGTAATTCTTAGCTTATGAGAATTAGCGCTTACATGCTTATCTCAGTATTCTTTAAGAGGAGGAATTGAGTGTTTATCATAAATAACCTTTAATATAAGAGTCAAAATTAGCATTGCTATGTCAGGATGATACCTGATGATATGATGGTCATGCTGACTAAAATAACCTGTCTGTCCTTGACATTTTTGTAGAAACTTAAGAAACAATGAAATTTCATGGGCCATAGAAGATGCTAGTGAAGCCTTTGCTGGACTCACAAGTCTCACTAAATTGTATGTATTTTTCACATTTATGTATGTTTGCAAAGGTCAAGAATCAGTTGTAAATGTAATTGGATTGTATCTATTTGCTATGGCTAGAAAGTCAGTCTTCTCACTCATCCACTAAAGAAAGAAGCTTTGTTGTTTATTAACATTTTTGTGTTTTGGTTTTTTTTCTCTTTCTCTCTCTTTTTGTGTGTGTATGTGTATGGTGGGGCACTTTCTCAGAAAGAGCATTCCTAAGGTCACTTAAAGAGAAGTTATTTGTGGAACTAAAATTTCAATTTAAGTAAAAGAAATGCACTGCAACCACAATTGAACCAGTCATCTTTTTAATCATGTGAGATTTATGAGTAATTTAACTAGCAAAAGAGAATTCTCTCAGGTGAGATTTTAGATCTCCCATTAAGAATGTCTCCAAGGCTTCACACTTGCCTGAATTTCTTTGACTGAATGATCTTTTGCTGAGAAGGGAGAAACTGGGAATATGATCCAGTTTATTATTGAAAACCACAAGTGATATCTGTGGTCAGATAGTTGTTTACAGGTACCTCTTTGAACACCAACATGTTAATAGATGCCTTTATTCTGTGCTTTGCATTGGTTGATAATAAAGATTCACAACTTTCTTAAAAATGCATGTTAAGGTTATTTTCACTTTTTATAGGTAAATGTTTATTTTAATGAACTTAATTTTGTTTAGTGGAGAGCTTTATTAGAAAGGTTTGTTTGTATTTCAGAATCTTACAAGGAAATCAGATTAAGTCAGTTACAAAGAAAGCATTCATTGGTCTTGAGTCCCTTGAGCATCTGTGAGTATTTATCATTTATTTTGATTAGTATATAAATAATCTTTGCTAATAGCAGAGGTTTTCATGACCATTTAAAGTGTTTATATAACTTAACTAGAAATGGTGACTGGGAATGTTTCATTTCTCTTCATTTCAGAGATTTGAACAACAATGCTATAATGTCTATCCAAGAAAATGCTTTTTCCCAGACTCGCTTGAAAGAACTGTAAGTACCTTAAGTCTTTTTTGTCACTAATTAGATAGTTATACATGCTTGTTGTGTACGTGTGATGAATGTGATCCAGATATTTCGCAAAGCACACAATTCAGGCAGGAAAAAAGAAAGTGTTAACATTCAGTTATTTTGGTGGTTGGATGTAATTTAAAAATAACTCAACATTGAAAAGCCAGAGTGTATGGCTCCAAGACCTTCTGTTTCTTCTCCTGTGCTGCTGATGCTTATAGTTAAAAGAGACCTTAGCACTACTCCTTATGCTTTATGTTTATCCTTCTGTTCCTTTTTTATTCCTTTCTTCCTTTTTGGACTATTGGAGACATGTGTTCCCTTGGGGTGGGTTACAGTTAAGATATTACATAATTTTTTGGAGGTGATCTAGCACTTTGATTTTAATGGTCAGAGAGGATGCCTGCGGTCTGTTCAAATGACTAAAATGTTCCAAAACTATTGAATAGTTATGATAGAAAAATACATACCATTTTAACCATTTTTTGTTCATGACTTTTAAAAAATTATTCTTATTTCCTAGGGGAGGGTTTCCCAGGGGAAGGGTGGTTAGTTGGGCACTGCTATTAATTTTGAGCTCTGGTGATTTGAATATTTAGCCACTGGTGAGAATCAGTGGGGTATGTCAACTTATCTTGCTTTGCCAGAAGGCCACTCAAAGGGGGATCTGTGGACCAGAATGGATTCATGACGAGATCAGGACAGAAATTCAGAACACATGATATTAGAGACTTTTAAGAACAAGTTGACATTACTATGACACTTTTGTTGAATTTTATAAAAGTATTGATCAAAACAGATTGAGAATTTAAAAAACTTCTCCACATATAGTTTGTGATACACTGGAAGTATGTGAGTTCAAACTGTCTAGGTTTAGATTCTTGTTCCATTCTTTATTACTATGTATTTAGCCTAAGACTCAGTTTCCCTTCTCAAAATGGGAATAGCACTGTCCTCAGGGTTATGTGACGATAAAATAATTTGTTTGTTCGAGAAATATTGTCATTTGCTATGTAGGATGCTGTTCTAAATGCTAAACATGCAGCAATGAACAAGACAAAGCCTCTGTCCTCACAGCATGTTGCAGTGAATTCTAAAGGGAAAATAAATTGTGAACAAGTTAGGCATATGATATCTCATCAGGTAATGTTCTGAAGAAAAAACTGGGTCAAAAGTGTACAGAGTGACAGGGATTGTTATTTGAAATAGTGAGGGAAGGCTATTCTAAAGGTAACAGCCTTAGAGCCAGGCCCTTAGCGAGATGAAGTGGCAAGCCATTTTACTGGGTGAGGGGCAGTCTAGGCACAGGGAAGAGCAGGTGAAAAGACCCAGAGGTAGAAACTTGCTTTTTGTGCTTGAAGAATGGCAGACACACTAGTGTGACTGGAAGACAAAGAGCAAGGGGTAACGTGGTAGGAAAGGAGGGCAGAGAGTTAAGCTGACGGGATCATGTAGGGCCTAATAGGCCATGAATAGTTAGGATTTCACAACCCGCCCCATGTCCCCCCACCTCCCCCAACCACCAAATGCTTTTTTTTTTTTACGATATCATTTTTTAAAAAAAATTTATATTGTAGTGGTTTTTGCTATACATTGACATGAATCAGCCATGGTTTTACCACCAAATGCTTTAGAAAGCTTTTGAGAAGATGTTTCACACAGAGCCTGGCACACAGTAAGAGATGAATAACTAAGATAACAGCAAAAGTTAAAATATGAAGTTCATTTTTTGTTACTTTCTGCCAGATTTTTAAAGTGGCTTTTTTTTTGTTTTTGGTCTCTTGACATATTTTGAGTTCTCTTAAGGCTCACTTGAACTTGAAAAGGCACAACTTACTGCATAACAGTATATCAAGTATTACCATTTTTTGGTTGTGATAATCTGAGGGCCAGCAAGAAAGTTTTAATTCTAAAGAGAACTCTGTTTTAAATATAATTTATATAGTAGGTGAAAGCAAATACTGTAGTTTCATTCCTCAGAGAGTCATTTGGTAATTTTGTGAGTTGGTTTGAATAGGCTGCTAATGGAGGAATTCTAATACAGATTTTTTTTACTGAGAAGTTTTAGTTGCTCTTTAGTTGCTCTTAAATTTAAGTCATGTTTATGATACTGAATTCGACATCACCATTTATTAAAATATCTCTTGATACTTTTTTGTATCCTTCACAGTGCTTTGCAAAAATCCTGAGGGGGAGATGGGAGAGTCAAATATAAATTAAAAATCGTTTGGCATTAAAGTTATATAATCATGGTAGAAAATTTGATAATTAAACCAAGGGAGAGAAAGATTCCGAATCCTCAGTACTCAGAAGACAACCACTGTTAGTATATGATGTATATCTCTCCATATACTTGTGGAGAGAAGACAGGGTGTATTCCACTGGTGAGACAGGGTTCATTAGCTTGGGAAGAGTGGAAAGATGGAGAAGAAGTGGAAGTGAAGTGAACTAATGTGGACTCTCTGGTATCTGTGGCCAGGCACTGTGCTAAATGCTTTATTTAAAACAATCTTTGAGGTAGGCATTCTCAATCCCAGTTTCCAGAAAAAGAAACTGAGATTTTGGAGGCATTCAGTATCTTGCCTAAGGTAAGTAGTGAAATTAGGATATGAGTCCAGGTCTCATGAGCCAACTTACATTATACCTAAGAAAGCATAAATCAGACCATATTATTCCTCTGTTCCTAACTTTCCAGTGTATTCCAGTACATGTAGGAAAAGAACAAATCAGGTTCTTTCCTAAGTTTATAAAGCACTTGCCCGGTCTGGTCCTTCTTGCCCAGTTCTTGGAGCTCATTCCCAGCCTTGTCCCTTCACTTTCTGTGCTCTGGCGTCAGTGGCCCCCTTTCTTTTCCTGGAGCTTTTCCTCGTAGATGCTTTTCCTAAGCATTGGCCTCAATGTGTTTGTGCAGTTTCCTCCATTTGTGACACTCTTACCCCAGTTCACGTGATTTGCTTTCTTGATTCTTTCAGGTCTTTGCCTAAATGCCATCTCTTAAAAAAATCTTTCCCTGACTGCTTTACCTAAACTGGTAGCTGCTTTCCTTCTGTCTCTGCCCAGCTTTATTTTTCCTTGATAGGATTTAACTTTGTAACTCTACTTTGCATTTGTTTGTTTATTGCTTGAGTCTAAATATACAAGCTTTGTGAGGGCTATAGTGCCACAGCCTAGAACAGTGCCTGGCATATCATATTTCTCTATGAATGAATGCATATAGCATAAGAATTCTTAAATGCAGAAGGTAGTCTTTGTCCTGCTTACTTAAAATTGCCCTTGATAAAATACGGCTTTTGGGGTACCCTTAAAGACTGTTTGAAACTTCTTTGGAATCAGATCTTAGATATTTTTATACCAAACTGTAAAACTACTTGAGGATTTTAGAGATGCATACAAAGCAGGTTATAATATTGTCAAAATCACTTGCTTTCCGTAGTTCCAAGGGGATGGGACATTTAAGGGTGATGAAAAGAAACCAGTGACTTTTCAAATGTATTTTATAGGCTTATTTTGACCACAAACCATTTTTCAGTGGTTCTTAATTTAAGTTGCAGTACATGTTGCCACAGGGCTGAAATGTTTTTAATCTTGATGAAATAATTTGAGAATAATTATACCCTCTCCACAACAAAGTTGTCTCTTTGTTCTAATATATATAGTAAGCTCTTCCCCAGATTTCTTTGGGAAAATATTTAAACCTCAAAAATTTAAAGGAAGGCACAGTGAATATCCATGTTCAGTTTACCTGGATTCATCAATTCTGAACTATTTGCTAAATTTGTTACATATTTTTCTCTCTCCCTCCTTCCTTCCTTTTCCCTCCCTTTCTCTCCATCCCTCTCCCTCTTTCCACACACACTCATATACATACTATTACTTTCCTTAACCAGTTGAAAGTAAGCTACAGACATCATGACATTTTACTCCTAAAATATCTCAGCATGTATTTCCTTTGCAAGATTATTTTCTTGCATAACCACAATACTGTTATCACACCTAGTTAAATTAACATTGATAAAATAATACCCAATATGCAGTCGATACTTAGATTTCCCCAGTGTCCAAAAAAAAGTCCTTTGTAGACATATTTTCTTAATGAAGTATCTCACTTTACATTTGATTGTAATGACTCTTTAGTTTCGTTTAGACTAAAAATAAATCCCTTACCCTTATCCCCCCACACCTTTTGTTAGTGTCTTTCATCATGCTGTCATATTTCAGGAAACAAGGTTGACCGCTTGAGTTTGTTTTCTTATGTTTAGAGTCAGGTTAGGCATTTTTTTGGCAAAAAAAGTGAATAGATATGCAGTGAGCTTTTAATGCTGGAGAAACTTGGAATGCAAAATAAAGAGCACTTATTTTCCTCTTTATTTCTACAGGATTCTGAACACAAACAGTTTGCTCTGTGACTGCCATTTGAAATGGTTGCTTCAGTGGCTGGTTGATAATAACTTTCAACATTCTGTGAATGTAAGCTGTGCACACCCTGAATGGCTTGCAGGGCAAAGCATCCTGAATGTGGATCTGAAAGATTTTGTCTGTGGTTTGTATTTTTGTTTTAAATTTTGTATCTTATTCCTTACTGTCTTAGCAGAATTAAAAAAATCTAAAGTAGAATGCTTTCCCACTGGCCTGTTTCCATTTCTTTACTTTTTTCTGTAATATTATAATTGTAGCTTAACTTTTGTGTTCTTTGACTTAATATAACTTAGGCAGTCTTGTTTCCTCTGTGTATTCTTAAACAATCATTAAAATAATGTCAGTATAATAGCATCTTTATGAATGTAAGCCTTTTCTTTTTAGGGGATTGTTAGCCTTAGAATAAATATCTAGTAAGATTCCTGCATCAAAAAGTATGAGTTTGTTCATGAATTCATTCAAAAGTATGATTTTATATTTGGTGGATCTTGAAAAAGTGCTTCCAGGTGTTTTCAAACAGATAGCACTAGTTTATGTGATCACCAGCAATGTATGGATGTACCAATTTCATTTGGTTTCTACTTTTAATACATTTTCTTAAGACAAAAGCAGCAAGGTTTGGCAGTTTTTTGGAGGGGAAGGAGGGACATAGACAAATTGTCATAGATGAGTTGTCTTAATTCTAATGCTTAATCGTCATTTCAAGTATACGTCTGTATTCTCATTTTGGAGATTTTTCTTTTACACTCCCATTTCCTTTAAAGTAGTTAATTCTTAGCTTTTACACAATGGAACTTTTAGATCAGTGTATCTGTGTTGCTAGTAGCATTTAGATACCTGTATATTGCCAGATCACTTAAAAATGCTTAGGACATTTAGAAGTTCAGGTGCATAAAATACTTTACTTGTTTTTACAAATTTAAAATTTATAAAATTTGTGAATTTGTAAAACAGATTTTAAGAAAGAAAGCAAAGAACCTAGTTACATTCCCATGAATGCCCTTCTGACTTTACTTAGTGTTAAAGGTAAACACACGCTATATATGACACAGTGAAATGTTACTGAGTAAAGACATTTCATTAAAAACTCATATGCCTGCTTCTCTGAATCAATTCAATAATATATTATTATTTATTAATCTATAGTTTTTTAGCCAGTCCTAAGCCAGTCTTCAGTTGGATTTTTGACATATTTGAAATTTTTCACTGTTTTAGTTGAAAGTTATGCCAAAGTACTTTGAGATAGTATGTTTTATTAATAGAATATCTATTTTTATATATGTTATATATACACAAACACATACATATTCATAGATACAAAGGGTAATAGAATTAAAGCTTGTTTTAAAATTCTAATTTAAGTTTTTGCTTTGCCAGTAACTGGTAATACTTAAGATAGTGCATTTTAAGTGTAGGTGACAGTAAGGGAGGGTGGAAAGAGTACTAAGCCCTGAAGTTTGAAAACCTGGGTTTCAGTCCAGGCTGAGCTGCTGACTTATATATCTTAGAGCAAGTCATTGACCCTTCTGGATGTCATTTTCCTCATGTTGAAATAAGGGAATTGGGTTCTAGTTCTGTAGCCCTTTCAACCTTATGACATTTTGTCAACAGAACCTGCAGTTTTACATTATTTGTTTTAAAATTGAATCTGTAGAAGCAAAAATAAATAAGTGACTTGGCTCCTGCCCTGTATTTTTTCCTCTTAGATGATTTGCTCAAGCCACAGATAAGAACTCATCCTGAAACCGCAGTTGCTCTGAGAGGCGTGAATGTGACTCTGACATGCACTGCAGTGAGCAGCAGTGACTCACCCATGTCTGCTCTGTGGCGAAAAGACAGTGAAGCCTTGTATGATGCCGATATTGAGAATTTTGTTCGTTATCAGCAGCAGGCTGGAGAAGCTCTGGAATATACTAGTGTCCTACATCTTTTCAGTGTGAATTTCACAGATGAAGGAAAATATCAGTGTATTATTACTAATCACTTTGGTTCTAACTATTCTCATAAAGCCAAACTGACTGTGAATGGTAAGAAATTATGCTCCCTGCTGGTTTTATAGTTAGGAGGATTTTTCATGTTTAATTTTTGAACTTTTGACCAAGAATATTACATTAAACCTGACACTGGGTCAGGGTCCTTACTGTTTTTGTCTTTAGGGTTATGATAGTATACAGGCTGGATTGTTAATTTACCCACTTACTGTCCCTAAATAGTCTTTGACTGAGGGGTAAAGGTGAATTCCATGGTTTCAGGAGATGAACTATTCTCTTTCGTGTTTTTGAAAAAAAAAATATTTTTAATTCTCCATTTTCTTTCTAGACCTGTAATTCTCTTCTAAAAACTATAAAATTTATTCCCGACACTTGTCACAGGGCCGTCTAATAATGGGGTATTGAGAACATTTGGGGGCCATTGATCATTATTGTCCAAGTGTAGTCAGTGAAACCATTTTTGAAAATAATGCTCTTTTTCATTGTGTCTGATAAACAACAGCTTGATGGTCTATTGCCTATTAGATTGAATAACTACAGCACTTCAGGCTTTGTGCAACCAAAAGATGTACATGTGTCTTGCTTCCGAGTTGCTTTATGAGCTGTTTGAAGGCATAAATTTTTTTTTTTTATCATGCATCTCTTAAGTAAGGAATAGTAAATATTAAGTGCTAAAATATGGGTTCAGAAAAGTTTATGGCCTCAGCTTTTTCTGCCCCTGTCAAGGAGATCAGGTAGGTTTGTCATGCATTCTGGAAGAGTTAGTCATCACTGTACTCCGTGCTCTGAGATTCTTAGAGAAAAGATGGCCTCTGAAGTTGTATTTACTATCAGTGCAGAGAGCATGTCTTCTCAAAGAAATGGAGCAACACAACAGTTGGTATTTTGCCTAATAGATTCTCCCTTGTGTGTGTGTGTGTTTGTATATATATTTTTCCCCACCCACTATCTTTTGGTGATCTTTTTGGGAACAGAGATGCCATCTTTTCTGAAAACTCCAATGGATCTAACTATTCGCACTGGTGCCATGGCCAGATTAGAATGTGCCGCGGAGGGGCACCCTGCACCTCAGATTTCCTGGCAGAAAGATGGTGGTACTGACTTTCCTGCGGCTCGAGAGAGACGCATGCATGTCATGCCTGAGGATGATGTCTTCTTCATTGCAAATGTGAAAATAGAAGACATGGGGATCTACAGCTGCATGGCACAGAATATAGCAGGCGGTCTCTCAGCAAATGCCTCACTCATCGTGTTAGGTATGTTTACTGCTTCGTGGATCCATATGTTTGTGGGAGTCCTTTTATTGTGGATCAACTCTTCGTCTTAATGGCAAGAAAAATCTCAAGTTAGATTTCAGTTGGGATCCTTATATCTTTGTTTCATTGTTCTGCCAATTTATACAGGTATGTGTCAAGCTTGGATATTAGTGGAACAGTTACCTGGAATCTGGGGAAATTTTGAGGGCAGAATTGGAGATTTTTATCCCATGAATTGAAAATTCAAATCCCTTTATCCTGTTACGTTTCTGTCAGCTTTCTACTTCATGTATATGTTTTTTCTACCATTCATAGTGAATTTTCATCATACTGCTTCAGAGAACTTGAGACAATTTAATTTTTCCCCCTTCATTAAAAAAAAACAAATTTGTAAAAGACGAAAAGACCTGTCTTCTGCTTAGATTTCCTGTTTTCCTTCCAGTGTGCGCCTGTTAATCTTGTGCTCTGGTAAAATATCTTTTCCCTGTAGATTTCCCCTGATAAGCCAGTTTTTTTTTTCCCTTATTACAACATTTGTCTTTATGGGACTCAAATCAAGGCAAATTCTCTTTGCTTCTAGATGTTAGGGTTTTTAAAAATGTGTTGGTTTGTTTAACTACTTGTGTAACCAGGAAAATAAATTTATTGTTTAAAAATTTTAAGATATGCAGAAAATGTGAAAAAAGGAGCAAAAGTCACTCAAACCCTGTTTAGATTTTGGCATATTCTGGACTTTTTAAAAATACTCATCTTCATGTGGTTATGTATACCTACTTTTTTCCACTTAATATTGTATCACAGGGTTGCATTGTCATTAAGTATTCATGAAATATGTGACTGTACTGTAAGTTACTCATTTTTCTGCTAGATTTTTTCATCTTTAAAAATTACAATTAATTTTGTAATGAACATTTTTGTATATGAATCTTGACTTCTTTGCCTAGGATCACTTGCTCTAGGTAGATTTCTTGAGAGGAGATTTAGATTTTTTCAGACTTTTGCTTTTCTGAAAAACTTCTAATCCTCCCATGAGCTTATGAAAGTGCTTATTTCATCATAACCTCATTAGTCTAATTCAGTAGAATCTTAAGGATAAAATTGCCTGATATTTTTTTAATGCATCTTTCTGTTAGAGACACCCTCATTTATTAGACCCCTGGAGGACAAGACAGTAACCCGAGGTGAAACTGCAGTATTACAGTGCATAGCTGGAGGGAGTCCCGCCCCTCGCCTCAACTGGACCAAAGATGATGGACCTTTGCTGGTGACAGAACGGCACTTCTTTGCTGCAGCCAACCAGCTTCTTATCATCGTAGATGCTGGGCTAGATGATGCTGGGAAATATACCTGCATTATGTCAAACACTCTTGGGACAGAACGTGGTCACATTTACCTAAATGTGATTTCATCCCCCAATTGTGACTCTTCCCAGAGTAGCATTGGACATGAAGATGATGGTTGGACCACAGTTGGCATTGTGATCATTGTTGTGGTCTGCTGTGTAGTGGGTACGTCTTTGATCTGGGTCATTGTTATTTACCACATGAGAAGGAAAAACGAAGACTATAGCATCACGAACACAGGTAAGTGGTATCCGGTTGACCACTGTGGCTTGTGTCTGAGTCAGAATGTAGTAAAGAGTTTTGATACTTTATGTGTGATAGAGGAAGAGTTTTTCTGTTAAAATGTCCTATTTCCTTGATGTGATGGAACCTCTCTAGTGAATAATTTTAAGAATTTCTAGACAGTTCCCCCAGGCTTTGCTCTTATAAACAGTTGCAGTGCACCTTCTTTCTTTAATTCCTGCGGCTCATTTCTCTTGTAATTTTCCTGTGGGAAAGAGTGGAGTCCTTATGACAGACTGACAGGTCAGTCTTTCACACCTCTCACTCACCCTGAAACCCTGTGAGAGAGGAGGTACAATACAGCCAGATAGATTGTGAAAGTGCATCTATGGATTTCAGACTTTAGGTTTTGTTTCTTTTGCTAATACTTTTTAAATGAAGCTTGGGGGAGAATTCTAATGAGAAATAATTTTCAGAGACAATTCTAAGAGCTCTTGAGTTCCTGGGTACATACATTTGCAAAATGGTCTTCTGAGTGTTGGCTTAAATTACCTAACTCTATTTGAGAGTTACAGATGTCTCTTTTACAGAGGAACTCAATCTGCCTGCAGACATTCCCAGCTACTTGTCCTCCCAAGGAACGCTGTCTGAGCCGCAGGAAGGCTACAGCAACTCTGAGGCAGGCAGTCACCAGCAGCTTATGCCCCCTGCCAGTGGGTATGCACACAGAGGCGCTGACGGTAATGACTCTGCACTGTCTGTGCTTACTGCTTCAGCCTACCCGGTTGGGTGTAGTTTTCAGTGGATAGTCTTCCCCACTAGCTTGAAGCAGTATTTTAAAATAAGATACACAATGAAAATATTTGGATCCATGCAAAATAGGATGAAAATTGACTAAAGTCTTAACAGAGGAGAAAATCATTTGACAGAAAGGAGCAACACATTCTTTTTTTTCAAAAAGACAAAAATAGTTAACATTTATTGAATGATGTTTACTATGTGTCAGAAACCATTTAAATATTTTTACATGTGCAGACTCAGTCCCCATGGCAATCTATGTATTCAGTACCAGTATAATCACTACTGCACCAATTAAAAGACTGAGGTACAGAGAAATTAAGACATTTATACAAGACTACACTTAGTGATCATTTAGAGGGAGAAAAAATTCAAACCTAGGTAATCTATTTCTACAACCCATATCATTAGCTAATCTACTACATGACAAATATAAATTACAAGCAAAGATAAAGTGACACATACACAGTAATTATTTCCTTATGTGTGTGCTAAGTCACATCCAACTCTTTGTGACCCAGTGGACTGTAGCCTGCCAGGCTCCCCTGTCCATGGGATTTTCCAGGCAAGAATACTGGAGTGGGTTGCCATTTCCTACTCTAGAGGAACACATTCTTAAACAAGGGATTGGCGAACACAGCAAAGGCTTTCAAACCAAAGTATTGTTATGGGAGAGAGATGTTCTAGAAACTTCTTTGAGGTGTCTTTTACCCTTTTCAGGCATGAGCACCCTTCAGACCATGTCCAGGAAGTTTGTTCTGTCTGCTGACAGGTAGACATTCACTCAAGTTTAAAGGGCATTGATTATTCTCAGTATATATTGCAGAGCATCAGAGAGATAACATAGTTAAGATATAAAATAGTTAAGTTGTAATAATTAAGAACCTAACTTCTCAACAGCAGTTTTCTCCACTCCACCCTTCCCATGGGGAGTGACGGGCACAGGGAGGAGAGTTAGGGGATAGAATTGGGTTTGGCTCTCAGTTCTTGTTTCCAGCCATGTGGTCATGAACAAGCTCTTTAAAATCTGAGCTTTAATTTCTTCATTTTAAAAATAAAGCAACAAAATTTTATAAAGCATTTCTCTCAAGATTCTCAAAGATTCTTTGAATGAATCTGTGTAGTACTCAAGTACTAATCAAATGGAAGGTCTGTTTCATTTCTACAGAGATTTTTTTTTTAGACTGGGTGTTACTAGAACTTCTATGTAAATCGACAAATTGGCTTTTCTTTTGGCTTTCCATGGAAAGGAGGGTATTTCTAGCTTTTTTTTTTGGCTGCACTCAGCAGTTTGTAGGATCTTAGTTCCCCGACCAGGGATTGAACCAGGGGCCATGGCAGTGAAAACTCCAAATTCTAACCACTGCACTGACAGGGAAGTCCTTCTAGCTGTTTAAAGAATACTTAAAAGCCTCTACTCTTTGCAGTTTGTACAAAATAACACTACTTTCTGGGTTAAACTTAATTACTTCCAGTTCTTTTCCAGTTCTAACAATTCTGTTGCTTGATCATAAATAAGTAACTCACTCTTAAGTTCTCACTTTCCTCTCTTTTATCATTCAATTTTCAAACACATAATGGTTCAGGGAGCTCATTATTAAACTTTTACTTCTACCAAACACACACTTGTCAGGCAGGACCCATGACCGTCAGAAACTTTCTCTGAGTCCTTTTAGCAGTTAGTGTTGCTTAACCGCTCGACTCATGAAAGTCACAGGGGCTTTTGTGAAGTGAAGTCATCCTAGCTGCTGCTTCTCTGCTTTAGTTTGCTTAAGCCAAACATGTGTCTTGTAGCATAGTGCCAACCTTATCTTGGCCCTCTTGATTTTAGCATGACTTCATTCAGGCTGGACAAGGATAATTTAATGTACTGTTCAAGAGCGTGCGTGCTGAAGTCAGAGGACCAGAGTTTAATTTCAGCTTTCCACTGGGCAATATGTCTTCGGGCAGGTTACCCAGCCTCTCTGTGTTGTAGCTATTCCATGTGTAATACAGCGATAATAGTTAGTCCTTACCTCATGAGCATACTATAAGGATTAAATAAGTTGATTCACAGAAAGACCTTGAAACTTCATCACGTTTATAATGTAAGTTTTGACAAATGCCAGCTGTGATGACAATGATGACAACTGTTAGACAAAACTAATGATTGGCAAGACTGAGTGCTTAACTGAAGGATGTTTGGTTTCTCTCCCATGTTGTCATTAGGTGGCACTGGCACCCGAGTTATCTGCTCAGATTGCTATGACAATGCTAACATCTACTCCAGGACCCGAGAATACTGTCCGTACACCTATATTACTGAAGAGGATGTTCTGGATCAGACACTGTCCAGCCTCATGGTCCAGATGCCCAAAGAGACTTACTTGGCACATCCTCCCCAAGATGCCACTACCCTGGAGAGCCTGATGTCGTCAGCAGAGAGAGAGAGATCTGCCTTTCCCACCAACCATGAGCGGATAAATGAGAAGAAACTTTCCTCCACACAGATGAGCAGTGGTAAAGGGCACAGTGTTTTTTGTTATTTTGGTTGCTTTTCACTTTCACCTACTTGATTTTTCCTTCTGTCATGTCTGTAGCACTCTCATTTGACAGAAACAAACAAATTGGTATATTGTAATAATTAGCTACTGTTAACTTTTATAAACTCGAGCCAGAGATTTTTATGGAAAGAAGTCTGAAGTTGCAGGATGAAAGCTGTTTTTGTGGGAGTAGCAAGATCTTATTTGTAAAGATTCAGGAAAAGTTACAGAAAAAGTTTCTATAAAGTTGCACATAGGCAGTACTTTTTTCTTCCATGTTTTTTTAAATAATGGAGACCTGAAATACCAAGGATACAATAATTTGGGCATAATTTGGTGAATATTTGCACTTCTATGACTTAAAAACATTTTATTTGGTTGCTGTTCTATTAGGTAAAGTTGAATGTCAGTATGACTTGGCAGGTGTTTGCTTTCAATTGTATTGTGCAGATGAGGAAGAGGAACACGTGTTGTGTGATAGGGCATTTGAAACAACCCAGTCAGTAAAGCAAATCAAAACAAAGCAAAATAAAACTCTTTCTAGACCATGAAGGGCACTCCTGAGTGTGTCTTCTTATCCATCCAGGCTCTTCATCAGCTCTCACCCTCTCGTCAGCCTGGAATAGAAGAGTGCTGGAAGTAGGGTGGGGCTAACCACTGCAGGTTTCCAGTGGAAGACGTGTAGTGGTGCCTCCAGGGATGGTTCTGGCTGGAATAAGTGGAACAGCAAGGGCTTTTGCTATGTGCTCTGTTGTTTCTTAACTAAGTTTTCTAAAGAGGGTGCATACAGGTCAGAGAAAAATATCCTGTTATTAAAGTTAGTCTCGTCTTTAAAGTTCTGTGTCTGTGAAAGAAAGGCATCAACACTAAATCCATTTCCCCATGTCTTAGAAGAGCTGTACACACACAAAATATTAAGTAGAACTAAAAATGCAGTGTATCTTTCCCCAACTTTGGGGTTATCTGTATTGTTAATCTGGTTTGTAAGTGAGGAACTCAGTAAATGAGAGTGCTTTGGTACGCTGCTTGTTCCTTACCTAGGGTGCTATAGCTTCTTGCTACTCAAAGCATTAGCATTACCTAGGAGCTTGTTAGAAATGCAGAGCATGTGAACCAGAGTCTGTATTTTAACACAGTCTCCAGGTTATTTTATGCATATTAAAGCTTGAGAAACCCCGCTCTAGCATATTTTGCACATGGTCTTATTTTTATTTCTGAGTGTTTGTTTCTAGAATGTTGGGCTAGCCTTTTCCAAACTGCAGCCCCATTAAGTTAATAATATAACTTTCAGTCAATGTTCTCTTGGGAAAGAGCTTACCACTGCAGTAAATAATAATGAGAAATGCATATTTTTTAAACCAAAGTACAGATAATCTGATTTAAAACACCAGCTTTTGGTTATTATCTTGTTTTTAGAATTACTGGCATGCTAGAAGCTGAAGGGGAATGGTTGTTTATTTTTAAAATGATTTTTTAAAGATAGCTATTTGTTTTTTAACTATATACTGACTGCTTAATCCATGTTTTTTTTCTATGTATTATGCAACTTTCATTGCTATTTGGATACTAATTCTCTTTTAGTCTGTTTCCATGTGTATAAAGAGTTTTAAGCTTTCATTTTTATAGTAGCAGAAACACCAATAATAGGTGAAAGTAGATCACACATAGCACAATTTCAGTAATTAATTGGTGAGGTTGTTGGTTAGAACAGTTTGAAAGACCATAGTTCCAGTTTTTGTTTTCTTTTTTTGGTCGTTGCAAGAAAAATGGCAAGTATAAATTTGATCTTAATGTCCTTATTTAGGAATATTGGGCATATTTATTTCTTTGAAGACTTGGTAGGAGAAAATTAAGTCTTAGAAAGTTTGAACTTCCATTCACCACTGGTAATTATTACTGTCTTTCATTCTCAGAAACCTTGCAGCGGCCTCTGTGGAACATAAGCAGAGAACCAGGTATGCCTCATCCTCCTTTTCCCCAGCAGTCAGTCCTTGAGTCATCACAACTTCATCAAAACGAGGGCCTGGCAGAGAGTGATCCAAACTGTTCCACTTCCCCCATGCCCTGTCACAGGTTACACGACCACACTTTTGATTTTAGTAGGACTCGGAACATTCAAGATGGCAGTGAGGGCACATGAAGCTCACTCTAGGATGAAATTTCAGCAGACTCAGATTAGTTGATTTTGTATTTACTACCTCAGAGTTCAGAAGAAACCCCAGAGTCAGCATTTTCTTTACTTACGTCTACCGTTCTGTCTGACCACACCAAGGTAGGCCAGGCATTCGTTTGGCTTATACTTGATGAAGAAAGGGTAACAGCTGACCGAAATGGGTACATCTAATAGAAAATGTGCAACCCGGGCAGAGGAAGATAAAAGGACAAAGTGCTTTGTGATGGTTCTGCCGGGATGTGCCCAGGTGTGCATGGCTTCTTAGGAAGAGTCTTCTTGCTGCTTAAACACCTTGGATTGTCTCAACCTACAGAATGACCCTGAATAAACAACGCCATTTTGTTTTGCCTTCCAAGGAAGAGAAATAACTTTGGAGGCCCCTGGGAAGTGTGCCTGGGATTCTGCAGTGATTTTAAACGTATAGTCGAGAGTGGGGCTTTGATATTCAAGGTCGTCGACAGGAATCCCAGACTTGACCAATTGTTACCAGGTCAAGGGTTTTGTATTCTTGTGACTCTCTCTCTTTTTTGGTTCAGGGGTCTCATTGTAAATATATGTGCATTTATAAATAATTTTTGTATTCATTGATCATATGTGTTGCAATGTAAATATTTTTGATATGCTAAAATTATATATATAATATCCAGTTATAATATTGACAACAGCTTCTCAGACCACAGATTTTGTACAACTTGGTTTAGTGAATCCAAAGATTTTGTTTCGAGTTTTGAATACATACTTGTTAAGAAGTATAATAAGTATAGAAGCACGGTACCTAGTGATTGCGTACACATAAACACAATCTTGGTGTAATTAACCACTTTCTTGATACCTAAAGATTCATACATCTAATCATTTGTCATCTGTTTACAAGTGCCAGGTAATATAATCTTTCTAGCATAAAAAGACTTTCAAAAGACTAGTAGTCTTGTTATTGCCATATACACATAGATAAAGGAAAACTTGTTTTGGGAATATCTTCTTTCAGCAAAGTACTTTGTTGATGAGGAAACCAAAGATTGGTTTTTTTCTGTGTGTGTGTGTTTTAAACAGTTTAATATCTCTTCTGCCAATGCACAGTATATCTTAAGGGAATACTGCTTTGGGGAAGAACATGCAGAAACTCATAGAACTTCAGCATGGTCCTTGTTTTGTATAAGTGATTATTTAAGCCAAACCGTTTTCTTGAATTTCTGATAGCAGAAGGCTTTATGTTAACAAAAGACTTAGTGCTGTAATAAAGTGTAATGAACTAAAGGTCTTCTTTCTTTCTGCTTTCAGAAAGAAAGACCGTCGGATTCTGTCCTCTGAGTTTAGTGAGGAGTAGTTATGTACTAGATGAATTCAGTCACTTAAATGAAAATATCAGTTTTTAAGTCATTGTACATTTCAAGGGCTTTAAACTTTATGTAATTTCTCAGCTCTTTGCCAAGAAGTTTGGCTGAATTTCATACTAGTTTTCAATCCTAAGTTTTTGTCCCATAGGCAGTAGCACTTTCTAGCTGTTTTATACCACCACGTCTTTCTTTTTTTTTTTTCCTTTTTAAATAGCCTCATTCATTTTCATTTTGAACTTAAGTACCACTATTTTCTTCTCCTTTCAATTTTGGATCCCTCTTCTTACTTACTAGGTTGTATTAATAGTGTAGCTTGTACTGGGCTGACTTAGAATCAAGAAACCTGATTTAGTTTTAGCTCTGCTGCTTACAAGTTGTATAATCAAGGGCAAGTCTCTTTACTTCTCAGCCTGACTTTTTCATTTATGAAACGATGTTTTACTAGATGCTCTAAAGCCCTTTCCAGCTGTAATGTTCTATGAATCTGTGGTCCCTCCAGGAATCAAGGAGGATTATCTACTCTAATAAAAAGCTGCTTTCATGAAATATTTGTTAGAGTAGAACAGGAGTGATGCTGCTTACTCTGACTTGAGCCAGATTTATTTCCTCTATAGCAGGAGTAATGCTATAAGAACCTTTCATGAGGAGAAAATACCTTCAGCTTCTAAAACAGTATCAGTAAACGTGAAGAATCTTGACTAGATTGAGAACCACCCTTGGTGTGTTACAGCACATCAGAGTATCCGAATCTGTTGAGAGGTATGCCACTGCTAATTTGTGACCAGCTTATGACTCACCTTTCTAATGTATTCAAGGTCATTCTTCTAATTATAGTACTCTGACGCACATTCTGATGGACTTTCTTCAGTGAAAAAAGTGGAGTCAGAGCAAGGCTGCAATGAGCATCAGCCGTTACATGTGAGAGGACAAAACCAGTGCTCCAGAAAACTTAAAATACACAGGCGCTGCTTCTCCTTTAGCAGCGGTCCCTCTGCTGCCCCTGGTGTCAGGCTGCTCCTGCGTAACCAGGCTCTCTGTCGTGTCAGCTGGCTGAGATGTCCTCCCAGATATTGCTAGCTTTCCTAAATAAAAACATTCGCCTAAAAAACTAGTCAGGAATTTGGTTAAATGGGGATAGTCTACCCCTGGTCTTAAAAATAGTAAATTTAATAAATTCTAATCTTAGGAGGTGGAATTCCTGATATTTTTCATTACTGCATGTTTTTGACCAAGCAGATGCTCTGCTCTAAACAGGATTAGTGGCTCATCATTGTTTCCTCCCAGCAGTGTAACGTCTGCCTGCCACCGATTTAATCAGAAATGTTGTAAGAGCAAGGGAAACAAATGCCGAGAGAAATATTCTGTCCCCCACCCAATTACCACTTCATAACAGTAGGGATGCATACATTCTCTTCATTTGTTTGTGCCCCTCTGAGACTGATTCTGTAAGCCTACCTTGAAGAAGAAATAATGTTTTTCTTGTACTTCAAGCTTCCCTGCCACAGAATCTACAAGTGGACCCCGTTGGCTTTCTGTCATTCAGCCTCTGATGTGCTTTCCCTAGATGCAGGTGAATCTGTAGAACAGGAAGTACCAGAAACCCAGCCCAATGTGCTGTCCCCTCTAATGTGCCATCTTATAATGCTTTAAATGTGTATGTTTCTGTAAGGTAAATGTCATGTTTAAAAACAGTTGCCTTCATGTTGCCCCTTGGGAGGTTGTAAAAGAAACATTAAGATGTTAAGCAACTTAAGAATCTTACCCATTTTCCTAAGAAGAGGGAGAGATAAAGTCTTTAGTTATGTAGAGGGTTGTCACAGGGAACAAGGATTAGATGAACTCTTTTTATTCCATTGGACAGGGTCATATCAGGGGGACAGAAGTTACAGGGAAATAGAGTTTATACACTTGCCAATAATTCTATATATCCTAACACTCTAAAAATTAAGATTTGTCTGACAATAGGAATAATCAGCCTTTGATGGGAGAAGTATGCACAGAAGCTAACTAATCATCTATTAAGAGCATTGGAGAAATTTCTGTATTGAAATGGAATATGGACAAGATGACTTAAACGGTATTGCAGTTTTATCATTGGAATTCTCCAGAAGCAGTCAGACAGTCTTCATCCTTCAGAATCCTTTGTATACAGTAAGTTTACTGTATACTTTAAAATAATTTATTTTTAACTAAAAGATTATGTTCTTTGGTTGACAAAAGGAGCCTGTTCTGTGTTAATAATGGCAAACCTGAAACTGAGCTTATTCTTTTGAGGAAATCTATAATGTTCCTAAGCCAAATGGCGTTACCATAATAAAAAAATGTTACATCTTAGAACCCTTTTACTCTTTAATTTTTATTCCTGTTTTTTTTTTTTTTATTCCCCACCCCCCCTGCCATTTCTTTATCAGTGGGACTCCATGGGAATGGGAATGGGATTGTGGTGTTCAGTTTTGTACCCAGTGTTTTACCCAAGTGTGTTGTGGCCTCTTCTAATCATGTTCATAGCCACAGAAATGCCAAAGGAGTGGTGAAGTAACACAGGTAAATTGGCTGTCATTTTATGCTACATCTTCCATTTCTTATTTTGCTTCTGATGCAAATTATAGAAGTAATTGTGAAGCAATTGGACCTCAAGAAAGTTAAGATTGCTAGGCAACCTGTTAGTAACGTTTCATTCTTCCATTACGTGGTCTTTTTCCTAGTTCAATTTGGCAGATGTTTTTCCCTCTTGCTTCTATTCTAAAACTTTTTTGTTTGGAGTACAGTCTAAGTCAACATCAGTTAACCTTAATTTTCTTCCTTCTTCTTCTTTCTTTCCTTTCTTCCTTCCTTTCCTCAGTTCCTCTCTTTCACAACTGCTTGGTTTGTTGACAAAAGTAACATGTTCTGAATTGAGATATGTTACAAACTTCTCTTAACAACACCTGAAAGCCCACGAATCATCTGGAGATTTTGTGGGTAGTGAGGGATGTGTGTGTGTGTGTGTGTGTGTGTGTGTGTGTGTGTGTGTGTGCGCGCGCACGCGCGTGCCCTCACATGTGCATGTGTGAGGAGTAATACTTGGACCTGCTCCCTCAAGGTTGTATGTTGAGTGTTTCTTAGCAGTTCTAATAATCTCTACCAACAGGTGGGGTGAAGGTAAAGAAACAGCTTGATTTGAACCTGTTTTCAAATGTAAGGAGTGAAGTGATCTTTTGTCAGTTCTAATTGATCAGCAGGTGGTCAAGTGTTCTTTGGATATCTCTTGGCTACTTAAAGTGGCCTCTTGATCCATGGAGAGACTACTTCCCTCTCCTTTCCCTTTCTCCCTTTTTACCTGTCAGAGGATGTCAGTCTGAGCTGCCGTGGTACTCGATGTATGTAAAGAGAATTATAAGCCAAGTTGTCATTCAATGTGGCCCTTTCCTAGTATCTATTTATATTTTCTCACACATGAGAATGTATATTTTATAAAGCATGTGTTTGTCTACTTGTTTGTCTACTGTAATGTCTTCAATAAAGCTAAAATACATGATGATGTTCTGGTCTTTTCTTGCCTAAAGGACAGGAATGAAATGGTGCATTTTAAAGTTTGTGGTCCTTTTGAGAGGGTCTCCAGATAGCTATACAAGTTAAAATGGGGAAGGG